GTCATGCAAGTGTACACCTACCATTGCAAATGCACTTACAACCACTCATCAGTAGTCTCAAAATCATGGAGATTCTCATGCCAATACTAATGAATGGTTCATTCATGCATTCATGCACACGCACAGCCCTCTCAGACAGCAGCCTGCATCCCTCTGCAGTTGCTGAAGCAGGTTTCCAGGTATTGTCTACATAGGCAGAGCAGATAGACAATTCCTCCCTGCAAAGAATGGTGTTAGTGGGCTGTGGAGACACGAGCACAGGACAGAACGGTGCAGGCTAATTCTCTGCTCAATGCTCTGTGAAGAAAGATATCTGATCTCCTGCATATTTTAGAGGAGGGGGACACAAACCCTCAGGCATTTCTTGCTTGAAAAATTCCTTCCTTATATTCTCTGTAAAAAAGACAAGTGCTCAGGGGAAGTTCAGACTTCAGCTCAGCTCACAGCATGCTCACCTCTAAGCAGCTGTCCTACCACCCTTTCTTGGCCCTGTCTGGAACACCTCCTCAGTGGGATGCTTTGATCTCTGCTCCAGCTTTTGTAGGTTCAGATAATGCTGGAGGATAACCAAGGAGTCCTCATTGGTTAGTTATCTCTGGTCATAGTTTTCCTTGAGTCCCTCCGGAGATGCCAGAGAGATCCTGCATGAGCAGATGGGATATCACCTCTGGCTTGCCATCCATCTGCCTTTCCTCTTCGCTGCAGCAGATGTGAGCGTGTGCCCACTGAACCTTCTCTGGCTCTCCTCTGCATGTTCTTGGCAGAGACCTGGAGATCCCTGAGTGGTGTTTCTAAAAAAGATGCTCAGAAACATCATTTCCAGCAATTTAAGCATTTGCTTTCACTGTCACCTTCAAAGCTGCCTTTGCTGTTAGGAGGATAACTCAGGCAATTAACAATGTGGTGGATGGAGTAGGACACAGCAGTGAATAGGAAGGGCAATTCTGTGTGCTGGACGTCATACACTTCTTTTTGAGCTCTCCAGGCAGGGCTGCTTTGCCTCCAGCCCCGGGGATTTCTGCCTTGAAACGGTTTCCGAGGTGAGTGGTCGGAGGCACCTGCAGCCACGATGAAATTCCCATTTTCGTCTAGCTCGGCGTGTGTTGTTAAGGGCTGGCATTAAGCAGCGCTCATCACGTAGGCTTTGTCTAGGTGGAAGCAGGGCTGGAGCTCTTCCGTCATCTCGAGTTTAATTCTTTAATCGTAGCCTTGTTGCTTCCCTCCTTGCCAAGCCATGCTAAGCAACCCCATATTCACCTCCGTCTCCAGGGTGAAAAGCAAGCTACCAAAATCTTGTAGAAATGCAGCAAGCGCTAGGGAGAACTGAAGTCTGAAAACGAAAGCTGTAGTAAAACCACAAGGTCACAGGCATGTGGGTGCGAGTGTTTGATTTCAGGGCTCCTCTTTGCTTGCGCATCGCAGGAAGCTGTTCCTCCAGTCCAGATGTTGGAAATCCGCAAGTCAGGTGATGGAAACAGAGACTGAGAGAAGCTGGGGTTCTCCGTCCACTCTCCCAACACCTGCGTATGCATTCGTGTGCTTCTTCTCACCACCACAAAGAGAAGAAAGAGGTGCGCTTTTATTTAGAGAAGGGATGCTGGGACGCTTGCATGTTGATGTGATGATGGCAGCTGGGGAAAAAGAGCTGTGCTGTATGTGTTCAGCTGTGGTGGTGGACATCACCAAAGAGAGGCATTTTTGTTCCCTTGCGTGCATCTGATAAATATTTCTTTCTCTCCTTTGCCTTCCAATTGGTTCTTCAATAGCAGCTTTGCCCCTTTTCCAGTGGAGACATTTAGCCCAAACAGGGAAATCATCTAGCATTTCTAGAGCCATAACCTACCAGCCAAGCCATGAACCTTCACCACTGTCTCCTAGGAAAGTTGATGAATTGACTGACTCCTTATACCCCACCGGCTCTGTTTCTCTGGAGGCATAAACATCTCCTAAGCCAGTGCTGGGGAGCCGCATTGCCCAAAGGTTCCTCTGTACCAGAGATTTGTTCAAGATATTTGGGGAGATTGGGTGTACTCTTTATGCCTAGCATCCCTGGATGTCAACACCAAGTAGCACAGTTTTAAGCTGATGAAACTTTGCTTGCTTCTTTCTTCCCCACTTTTACTAAGCTTTCTGTCATCTTTTGGCTGGGAATTGCTCCTGAGACTTAAATATTCCCTGTCCTCCAGCTGCCCAGGCTGCACCTAGTCTCCACACACATATTAGGCACAGCCATTCCTCTGCCTCTTTGGGCCCTTGGTAGTGTTCTGATCTGCTCAGGGCTTTCAGTGGTTGCAATTTTCCAGCATTGCATCTAGGACATAATTTGGTTTTCTGCTGTGTTTTCAGGAGGATACAGTCTGCTGCCTTAACCAGGGAAAAGCCACTGTTCCCCAGCATCCTAGTGCAACTCAGATCCTATAATAAAGCCCAGTGTCCCCCAAAGCATGAGTATCACTGGACAACCAGGCAACAGGTTTGTCATAGACAGCACAAATGGTGTGTGATACTGGCTCTCCCTGCGACCGATAGAGTGAACAAGCTGGAGATCTGTTCAAGCTCAGGGTACCATGATCTGCATGTGCTCCCGGCTCATGGAAATTGGTGCTGCAGCTGTGCAGATTTTGGCTGCACCTGGGTCTACTGCAGGGTGCTCAGGATGCTGTGCCATCGGGACTCTGGCATCTAATATGGTCTGAGCTCACTGACCAGTCTTTCCCTTGCCAAGGGCGTGAGTGGTATCTCTTCAAGCTATTTGCAGGAAGCTTGTAGGAACTTGTCTTTCTTTGCTATCTCTATCTCTCTGGTGATTTTAGCTGAAATGGGGGGGAGTGGGGGGGAGCAATGTGAACAGACAGACAGACATGGAAACTGTGATTTCATATGCCTGACTTCCTAAGGGAACCTGGCTACAAATAGAAGTGAGATTTGCTGCTGCAAAGAGCTCCTGGGGAAACAGAGAAGGTGGGGAACACTGGGGAGGAGGAAGGGGTGGTTAACCTCACTTTTGAGATAGGCAACCAAGGCCTGGCACACACCTAGTCTTAGATTCTTTCCTGAGATCTGGTGGTCTAAAAATTGGGCATCTGCTCTGCACTAGCATTCAGCTTCCTCCAGAGTCAGCAGTGCAAGAGCTGTACCTCTGGACAGTGACTCTCTGGGTAGGTGCTACTACCCCTCACCAGCCAGGGCTAGGCACCTAGCTGATGGATGGAGTGTGCCAGGGTGGGCCTCCAGCCTCAACTAACCTGCCCAGCTCCTGTCTACAACTGTGTCCAAATCCTCCTGGGTCCATAACCTGCGTTTGCCTCAGCCTTTCCCCACACACATTGCCAGGGACATCTCCCACCACTGTCCCTGGATGGGTGCAGGGTGCTGGGGCTGGAAATTTGTTTCTGCTCCCTTTGAAGCTTTCTGCTCCTTCCTCCCACAGAGCCCAGGAGAGCATCCTGCTGCACAGGAAACCCCCACACAACTACAAACCCAGCATAAAAAGGGGCCTGGAGGCAAGAGCAGACACAGGCAGACAGAGGGAAAGCAACAAGCCTGCTAACTTCTGTCTCCTGGCCCCTGTGGGGCATCTCTGGGCAGATGATTCCTCCCCAGGCTACCTAGGAGCCTCAGACTCATTAGAAGTGTTTTATTCTCCCAACACTCACAGGAAGTGATCTTCCCATTTTACAGAGGGAGACACAGAGCACAGGGAGGTGAAGAGCTGCCCTGAGAACACAGAGGGAGTCTGTCAGCAAGGCAGCCTCAAAGGCAGCTCGTGGAGACATGGTAGCTAGCACTGTGCTCAAATCAGCAAGGTAGATCCACCAGCAGAGGAAGGCATTAACGGCCCAGGAGGAGTAATGGAAAAGACCTGATGCTGCTTTGATAGAAGAGCAGGTGGTGGGGATAGAGAAATGATCTGGAGACAGCAGCGAGTAGGAGAAGAGTTGCTAAAAAAAAGAAAAAATACAGCCCCAAAAGAAATGTAGTATTTCTCCCTTGCTTCTCATTTCCTGGCATTTTCTTTGCTGAGACCTTGAATCATGGGGGAAAGGGACGACTTGCCACTCCGTCTCCATAGGTTGAAAACCAAGGCTGGAATCTTTCTGACAAACACTTCCAAGCTCAGTCTCTATGAGCTGCCCCCAAATTCATCCAATCTGTCTGAAATTTTTTTATTGGGATTGTTTTATTTTCTCTATTTATCTGTTTATTTTGGAAAGTTGCTGGGGAGATTGTGGGAGGAGATTGGATGCTTCATTGAAGAGATAGGATACTTGGAAAAATCAGTTGCAGACTGATAATTGTTTTAACTTTTTAATGTCCTTTATAGAAAACAGGGTGGCCTGATGTGTATTTTACTTGATTGGCTTCATGGAGGGCTTGTGCCTCTGACTATATTTGGAAAGGTTTTGGTGTTTTTTTGTACTGATGCAATCTGGATGTTGATGGCCTGGAAATCATTTTCCTGATGTGGATCTGGAGGGTCATGGACGGGGGATGCCAACAGGCTGTTCCTGTTTTGGAGTGGTAGAGCTGGGTGGAAGGGAGAAGTAGCTGGGCAGAGCCGGAGCAGGGCAGTGAGCCAAGGGTTTTCCAAGCTATGTTCAGAGTGCTGTCACACTGTGCAGCCCTGAGTGGCAACACAGTATTTGGACATAGCAGCCTTCCGCTACAGGTCCGGATGTACAACCAGTGTGGAAATTGGGTCCTTCTCCTTTGGTGGGTAAAAATTCACAGCTGGCAGGAGCTACTTTTTACCAAAGCCACACCATGGTTCAGCATTAAGATCAGAAGTGGAGCCTGTGGCTGCCTAGATAAATGTTCAAGCATCCTGTACCTTGCAGGGCTGTTGGCATCCATTCTGTGTCTTTCGGCTGTAGGAAGCTGGACTTAGGCTCTTGACTGATTTACTGATTGGTGGCAAGAGACCAGACAATTTGTTTGGACTTTTTTTTTTTTCCTACAGTCACATCTTTTCCCAGTACAGGCTTTGCTCAAGCTGCCCTGCTGTGAAGCGGATTGCTGCTTACAGTGAGGCAGAGGTGAACAGTCTTCAGCGTGGCCAGGAAAGGTCAACCGGAGAGGAGAGGTCTGCTAGCCCTCCAGAGATGGGGCAGTGGGTATGAGTCCCACCTGAGGAGGCAAGCTGTGCAGTGCTTTCACCAGGGAAAGCTGGTTATTGCTTGCGGTAGACTTGTAAGTGTTGCTCTCCTGCAAGAAAAACTGGGAAAAGGGTGCTGTGCCTTGGAGACTTCAGGGTAGGAGCATAGGACACATGACTTGAAACAGCCATTTTTGCTGGAGCGGGGGGCACTTGTTGGCTGAGAGAGCCTGTCCTCTCATTTGGGGCCTTTTGGGGGGTTGCTGTCTTTTCACACTGACAGTGCCGTGAGTAGCTGGCTTGCTTTGAGGCTCTGTTTCTATATCTTGAAGGCTAGCTGTGCCTTGCAGTAGCTACTAGCTTCCTCTTTGTCAAAGCTTTTGACCACTCTGCCTGAAGAGACACCGTCTTTCTCCTGCCCCTGACTCCAGCAAAGGGGGTTTTGAGCTGCCTTCCCTGTCTTCCTGCAGCAGTGCACTCTCACTAACAAAAGCTCCCCTCTGTCTAGCTCTGACTACAGGATGTGGAAGGGCTGGCGGGGAGTCCCCATGGTATTGCTACATGCTCCTGGTTGTGTCCCCACAGCACGTCGAAAAGCAGCCGCTGTAGTGTAAAGAGCAAACTTCCTATTGCCCCCCAGCAAGCAACCATCATCACCCTGTGGGGAGAGAGTGCTGCTCCCACCTCCTGTACACCAGTGACACGGCTGTGGGGACACTCTCTCCCACACAAGCTGTCAGTAAATTTACAGTAATGATGTTTATTGTGAAGCTGATGTCACAGTGGGGTAGGCACTGTCAGGTAGTGTCAGTGGTGGCTGTAGTGGTGGGAACGCTGCTGTGTTACAGCTGCTCTGCACAAGTTTTCTGTCGAATGCTGGGAGAAAAAATCCACATGGAAAGTCTCTCACTCTTTGTACGGCCACTCATTCTTTGTGAGCTCAGGCCATTTCCTTCCTTGCCCATTCATTCCTTCTCTAACGCAACTGGGCTAGCAGTGGTTTTTCAGTACTCTGAAAAATAATGGTGCTACCAGCTTGTTGCAGATAAACCTGTGTATGATACAAAGGTGTAGGAAAACAACTGGAAGTCTTACAGGGGGTATTCGAAGAGCGAAGTGCCCAAATGGAGATGGAACTTTTGAGAGGCTGCTGCAAAGGAAAAGCTGTGCTTTGCTGAAACTCAGAGCAGCTTTCAGGCTCACTTTGCATGCAGCAACCAGCCATTCTGAAGGAGCACTGCTGCCAGGGAAAGGTCAGAGGAGAGTCTAAAAGGCTTTTTTCTCCCCATCTGGCAGCTCCTGAGCTGGGGGGCTGGAATACAAGCTGGCAGCAGGAGCTCTCTCCTAACAGTTTGCAAAACCTAGTGTTCCCATGCCCAGCAGGGAGGCAAATATCTCTGCAACCTTCCTAGCCCTGCTATGGGCAACAACTGCCCTTCTGGTGTTTCACACCAAAGGTTGAAACAAAGGCTGGACCAATATCCCTTGGTTGAGAGCTGCATCTAAACTGAGCTTGCCTTGAAGGGACCATGCAGCCTCTTGCAGGCTTTCCTCCATGACTATGCAAACCCAACTGCTAGCACCCAGGGGGAGCTTGACCTCGAAGGGAGGGGGCACAGCTGTGACTTCAGGAAACTTAAGTTGGGGTCTGGCTCTCCTGGTTAGCTCCAGCTCCACCTGAAAGCTCTCAGGCAGCCAGTTCTAGGGAGCCCCAGGACAGCTCTGCTCCCTTGGTGGTAAAAAAAGCTCTGCGTGCTGCCCAGCAGGGCAGGGTTGTGCTGGCCTGGAGTGGTGGTTTGAGGATCTTCGCCACATGCATATAGCCAGCACCAAGCCTGAGAGCAGCTTGTGCCCCTGCCCAGGGCTGCAGTGGTAAATCTGACCTGGGAGGCGCCGGGGGAGCGAGGCCAAGGCCTGGAGCACCGCAGCAGGCAAGGTTTGCCGGGGCTGCTAACTGGTGTGCTGTGAATCAGCTACTGCATTTGCTTTTATTGTTGATGGCTGGGATGGGAAATGCAATTGAGACACCTTAATGAAAAGCTAACAAAGTTGGGTTTGGAGGGAGGGCTGGCATTCTGATAGCCTTGATTCTCGTTAAAGAATAATACGAATTATTTGTCTGAGACTATTCCTACCGCTGTGCCTGCAGCAGTGTTCTGACCATGGGTCGAGACCCTATGCAAATACAGAGTAAGAGGGTCTCTGGGGACCAATCTGTTTACTTTGGACTGTACAAATAAAGAAATGCTGCTAATTTTATAGCAGATGCTTCTCAGAGATATTTTGAGTGTCAGGCTCTGATTGTGTGTCTGTAACCAACATGTTGTGGCCAAGCATTTTCTAGCCCTCCATAATTCCTGAGTCTGGTTAATAACACTCACTGTGAATTGGTTCAAGTAGGAAAGGAAAGCTGGTGAGGGTATGTGAATCTTGCTTGATGACTGCACCACAAAATGCTAGAGAAGGTCCAACACAGAGTTGGGGGATGCTACTGCCACTCAAAGAAGGGTCCTGGCACATTGCCAAGGCTGGTGGATTTTTATTCCAAAGCTCCAGCCTGAACCCTCCATCTGAACTCTCCAGAAAAAGTTGTTCTTATCTTCTGCCATCTGAGGGAAAAATGTTATTTGTACATGGAGAACTGGATGGGAAGGCCAGAAAGATGGATTGCTCTAGACCTTTTTTCGTCCCATTTAACGTAATAAGTGACTTAACAACTAACCAAAACCAACTTATATTTGAAAGTTTGAAAGGGAAGAACATGGCAAAGTTCAAGTGACTTATTAGTCTGATTTAGTCTTTCTTCTGGCTGAGACTTCCAGTGCTCTAATGTTTTTAAGACTGTAAAGTTGGTCCAAAGTGTGATGGGAGTCTCCTATTTTTATGACCTAAATCAGTGACCCAAAGCATAATATTTTCTCTAGAACCATCTGTTTCCTCTTCTTGCCAAGGGGATTTCACAATGCCTGGTTGCTCTGAATAATTGTACATGTGCGAGGATATGACTTGCCACAGGGAGAAAATTAACTGAACAAGGGCAGGTGGATGCTCTTGAGTTTTTTGTTGAAACTACTACACTTTAGAAAGCGACAGTGAAGAACCATGCAACTGAGTAATATTTTATGCCCCTGTTAAATGTTTTTTAAGCCTACATATTTTTAAAAACCTCCAAAACTACACTTAAGAGCTATCTGGGATAAACAGAGTAGATACCAAGTCAGCCTGTTTTGACAGCCCCTTTATAAAATGTCTCTGAGAGTTGATTTGGAGCACTGTGAAACACAGGAGTACAGATGCTGGGTGACTAATTCATGCTTAGGCTAAACTTCAGTGACCATGAAGGCACATCTGTTTCAATTTAGCTATCCACCAAATGGCCTGCAACAAGGTACTCTTCTGTACAACAATATGTTTTTAGGTTTTTATTTCAGATTTGTAAGTGGTGGCTACAGCCTGGATTCTGGGAAGGAGAAGGTAACCAGGGACTGCAATCAGGGGAGCAGTGTTCAGGGCTTCTGATTCCAGCAGTAAGAGCTTTTCGTAGCATTATCAGGATTTCCAACACAAACAACTCCTTTCTTTTAGATCTGTCTTCATACACACTTGCTTTTTCTTCTTCATCTTATCCGTTCTTATCACCCAGCTCTCTGACTTGTTCAGCTCCTGCTCTGTGCTCTGTGTATCTTTTTTTTTCTTAATTAAAAATTGGGGGGGAGGGGGCAGACCAACAGTTCTTGGCTAGGAAATGCTATTTATATAAAACTTGATAATTCCCTGTATTATTTTTCTAGCCCAGTAATCCTACTACAGCATCCTTAAATAAAAGCAAATGGAGGAGAGAGCTTTGATCCACCATTACAATGTCTCTTTGTGGAGTAGATCCTGTAACGTGGCTGCAGGATGGCACCCATTGTTTCCTCCAGCCAGTTCTTGACTTGTGTGCAGCTCTGTCCCTGCAAAACATGCCCCTTCCCTAATGAGGAGGGGGTTATCCCTGTGTCATGGAGGATAAGGAGATGGGTGGTGGTGACCAGGTGCTTTCCTTCAAGGAGGTGTGTCCCCATTTAAGAGGGTAAATGCTTCTCCCCACCTGCCTCACTGTACTTTTGCGGTCAGCAGTGCAGCATGTGTAGCCTGCTGTGAGAGCCAGCCTGGTTCCCAGCTGTGCTGTGAAACAAGCCCTCTTTCGGGAGGCAGAGGGGAGGTGTGCTTAGCCATCCTGCCTGGGACACGGTCACTGTGGCTGGGCCCAAGTGACAGCTGGGATGCTGTCACCAGATGCAGCCTTGAGCATGGTCTGTCTCCCAGCACATGCAGCTGGGCAGCTCTCTGGCCTGCCATGGTGTTTACTGGAGACCAGGCAGATGGCAAATGGCACGGTGAGACCTGCCAGGTGTTGCAGAGGCTGGACTTTGGGAGGCGTTGGCTTGTGCTCCATTTCTGATATGAGCCTAGGAATACCATCCTTCTCTTAGAAGTTGAAACCTGTCATGGCTAGGCTCTTTTTTTTTTTTTTTTCTTCTTTCTGGAGTGTGGTATTTTTATGGGGAAAACCAGTTCTGCCTTTTGTATTCTCCAGCAAAGAAGTAAAGGTATTGCTGTACTCATTTTCCTCTCCTCATAGAAACATTTTTAATTACCATATGATTAAATTAACTTGGAATGGAGAAGTGTAGTATGGCTAAGACTCTCCTTGAGGAGAAAATGTAGCTCTAATAACTAGAAATCTGGCTTGTATTGGCTAATAAAATTGAGAATGTAACACTGAGCATGCTCAGGTTTTTCAACTACTTAAAGGCATCTGTTCTTTTGGTTTATGCACTGTTAACTAACTGCAAACCTCTTTAACAGCTCCTCTACATTGCTAGAAAATCCTGAGGCAGGACAAGGGCAAGTACTGCTGTCATGCCTGATGACTAATGTTGTAAACTGAGTGAGAAAGGCCCTTGAAGGGGAAGCCGTCAAAGCTGGCCTAGTGGGAAGAGTGCAGGGACAGGTTTCCTCTGCAAGCGTGCCAGGAGAACCAGGCTTGGATGCATATGGGGCTCTTCCCAGTTTGGGAAGGTGCAAAGTGATGCGCTGTGGAAGGAATGGCTCCAAAATCATTAATTAAAGACTGCCCTTCTGGTGCACCTTATGACAAGTTACTGTTAAGAATAAGGTTTTGCCAGGGTTTGAGCTCACTTTGTGCAGATTTCTGATGTGGAGTAGATGCTTGGGAGGACTGTGAGCAAAAAAAGGCTGTTAAATACATAGTTTATGGGGATTAAAGATGGCAGGTATAAAACTATTTTTAAGAAATGATGGGGTTATAGTAGATTTTTTTTTTTGTGCTCTGCTCTTTCCCTGAACTCCAGTGATTGAGTGAATGCACTGTAATTTTGAAATGGGAAAAACTTCTGCCAGCTGTGAAGTAGAACGATGGGCTTTAATTAGATGAGAAACAAGAAAATTAAATTGAACAAACAGGCCTTCAGCAAAGAGAAAGTGCCATTAAACTTAGTAGCTAAAAGGGGTAGGTGCTAGCCTGCTGGTAGCATCTGAATCTGTCCTTGTTCAGATAACCGAATGAGATGATGTGTACATGGAAAACTGCAGTAATCATAACACAAATCGGCTCATCAGATGGGTCTTCTTGAGTAACTGGCTAATTTGATTATATATTTGGAAAAGATGGGAAATAAACAGGATGTAGAAGAAAATCTGTTCTCTCTGGTAGGCCTCACTTAATGCATCTTTCCTTTTGTCTCTGTAGGTTGAGGACGTTTGGGACCTGTTTGGTGGCAGTGGCCATGTTGCGGGCAACTTACCTACCCACCTTCCCAGTGAGCTTCCAACTCCTGAATGTGGTGCTGGTGTTGCTCTTCCATGCAGACAGCACACATGCGGAGAGCCCCAGTGAATTGCCCGTGAACAACACTGAGGAGTGCACTGGCTCATATATCTGCAAAAAGGGTGTGATTTTACCAATATGGGAACCCCAAGACCCCTCATTTGGTGACAAAATCGCTCGGGCAACAGTGTATTTTGTAGCAATGGTGTATATGTTCCTGGGAGTATCTATCATAGCCGATCGCTTCATGTCCTCCATCGAAGTCATTACATCCCAGGAGCGGGAAATAACCATCAAGAAGCCCAACGGTGAGACTAGCAAAACCACAGTGAGGATCTGGAATGAGACTGTTTCCAACCTCACACTGATGGCCTTGGGCTCATCTGCCCCTGAGATCCTCCTGTCTGTTATTGAAGTCTGTGGCCATGGCTTCACGGCAGGGGACTTGGGGCCAAGCACAATTGTGGGGAGTGCTGCGTTTAACATGTTTGTCATCATTGCAATCTGTGTTTACGTTGTTCCAGATGGAGAGATAAGGAAGATCAAGCACTTGCGAGTGTTTTTTGTTACAGCGGCCTGGAGCATCTTTGCCTACACTTGGCTTTACATTATTTTATCTGTGTCTTCTCCTGGGATTGTGGAGGTTTGGGAAGGCTTGCTCACCTTCTTCTTCTTCCCCATCTGTGTGGTGTTTGCCTGGATAGCTGACAGGAGGCTTTTATTTTACAAGTATGTCTACAAGAAATACCGAGCTGGCAAGCAGAGAGGCATGATCATTGAGCATGAGGGTGACAGGCCCTCCTCCAAAGCTGATATCGAGATGGATGGAAAGGTTGCGAATTCTCATGTGGAGAACTTTTTGGATGGGACACTGGTGTTGGAGGTGGATGAGAAAGACCAGGATGATGAGGAAGCCAGGAGGGAAATGGCTCGGATCCTTAAGGAGCTGAAACAAAAGCACCCTGACAAGGAAATTGAGCAGCTTATAGAGTTGGCCAATTACCAGGTCCTGAGCCAGCAGCAGAAGAGCAGGGCCTTTTACCGCATTCAGGCCACTCGACTCATGACAGGAGCTGGCAACATCTTGAAGAAACATGCTGCAGACCAGGCCCGCAAAGCTGTCAGTATGCATGAGGTCAACAGTGAGGTGGCAGAAAATGATCCCATCAGCAAGCTCTACTTTGAGCAGGGTACCTACCAGTGTCTGGAGAACTGTGGCACTGTCGCCCTGACCATCATTCGCCGGGGAGGTGACTTGACCAAAACAGTGTACGTTGACTTCCGGACAGAGGATGGGACGGCCAATGCCGGCTCTGACTATGAGTTCACTGAAGGGACAGTGGTCTTCAAGCCTGGAGAGACCCAGAAGGAAATCCGTGTTGGCATAATCGATGATGACATATTTGAGGAGGATGAGAACTTCCTGGTCCATCTCAGCAATGTCCGCGTGAGCACTGAGGCCTCAGATGAGGGCATTCTTGAGGTCGGTCGTGTCTCAACACTTGCCTGCCTGGGATCACCATCTACTGCCACCATCACGATCTTTGACGATGACCATGCTGGCATCTTCACCTTTGAGGAGCCAGTAACACATGTCAGTGAAAGTGTAGGGACCATGGAAGTGAAAGTGTTGCGAACCTCTGGTGCACGAGGAAGTGTTATTGTGCCCTACAAAACCATTGAAGGCTCAGCCAAAGGTGGAGGAGAGGACTTTGAAGACACTTGTGGGGAGCTGGAGTTCCAGAATGATGAGATAGTGTAAGTGAGGGTTTTATTTGTTACTTACAGTCTCTGGTTCTCCTGAAATTAAATGCATATGGCTCCCAGAGCTGCACTGGAAGTGTTTGGGTGCCAGCATGTTGCAGTAAGCCACTGATGGCCTTATATGTTTTGGGGAGCCTGAAATGCTATGTTTCTGCCTCACTAACAGATCAGGGTGATGCCTTCTCAGGGGCACTCCACCCTTCCAGCAGCAGGGAGGTGGGACGGGTTTGCTAGCTCAGCCTCCCACACCCTACCCGTGCACTGAGCAGATTTCTAAAGCCTCAGCTGTACAGTGAAGCAGAGAACAAAACCGAGCTGGCTGTTACCACCCAGTCACAAGGACCTGTCTTGAGAAGGGCCTAAACTGAGTATATAAATTGTGGTACCTGCTTCCCCTTGCCTATTGAGGGTCAGGTCATCTGGGACTGGGCCACATCCTGTTGCACTGATGCTCTGTTCAGGGCTTTGATGAAGGTGTCTTCACCTCCTCCTCTTCCAAAGGCTGCAGGCCTGGGTCGTTGTCTGATGCATGTCCTGAAAAAGTATTGTAAAGCAGAGAAGCTTTATGGTTAGAATGCAACTGCAGCCACATTCAGCTGTTTGCAGATAAAAAAGACTGAAAGCTGTTGGAGGCTACTCCTATGTGTTGCTAGGTGAATGGTGGAAAAATTATTAGTGCTTTAGCCTTGTTTATTACATTATGTGGAGAACATAAATTAGCCCAGTAAATCATAGTAGAAAACATCTATCTTTGGGTATGTCATGATGTTTTCTTGCCCAGTTGGTGCTCTGGGAGGAGCAAGGGTTGGGAGTTGCGTTGGTCCAGCCTCAGACTCTTCCTACAGTGAAGTCTGAGTCTGTAGATCAGTCCCTGAGAACTGTATGGAACTTGGAGCAGTCACTGGTAAAGGACACTGCTGTGTCAGAGGAGAGCCAAATGTTGGCTTTGGTGTTGCAGATCACAAAACTTGTCTCTTAGGAGCTGAGACAGACCCATGCTGAGTGCTGAGAGTGGGCCTTAATGTTCTGTCTGTTACTTGTATTTGCTCCATGTGCACAGGAAGAATGAAGCAAATGGGAATCATAAAACTTTTTGAAGTAATGGAAAGAAAAAAGGGACTTGTAGTTCTCAGAGTATTAGACCAGTTGGGGTTTTGACTTCTCAGGAAAGTCTGATCAAGAACTTCACAGCTCCAGCAATCTGGAGACCAGAACATGCATGTTGCTCACACAAGGGTTGAGAGCACACAATATACCATTGTTCCTGGCTCTTGAATGATAAGTGGAGTAGAGAGGAATGCAATTATTTGTTTGGTTTTTTTTCATTTGGGAAGAAGCAGGGAGTTGTCTGCAGAGATGCAATGAACTATTATTAACCAGGTCACTCAGCACTAGCAAAACTGGGCTACTGACAGGAAGACTTTGACGTTTGATCTCAGTTCCCCTAGGATATGACATGTTTTCATGGCAGACCAAACACATGACTGCAGGCTCTGCGACCATGTTCAGAAGGGCTTGGGCTTCCCCTTTGTCTTGGATCAATCACTCTGGTCAGGATCTCTGTGCTGTCCTTCATCAAAGACAGGTAGTGTCACCTGTGTCTGCACTGCCTGTTGGTGTCAGTCTGTGCTGTGGGGTGTTGCAGTGGGACAGCAGTGCCTTTTCCCTGGCCTTGTGCCAAGGCCTGCTGAGCCTCTGCCTACTGCCTCTGCTGGTGGCCTTTCCTCCACTAACTGACTTTTGCCAACAGCCCAGTAGCCAAGGGGTGTGCTGGAAACAGGCTGACCACGTCCTGTCAGAGCTGCTGCCTGGACTCCTGGGCCATGCTAGTGTGCCCTCCCCACATCACCAAGACTCCTCCTTCCTTTTCTTACTGGCTGTCAGCACGTGCATAGCAAGAAAGAAACAGGGGAAAATGGCTTTCTTAGAAAATCGAGTGTGGTTTTTTTTCTGTGCAGACACCAGGGCATTGATATAATCTCTCTATTGCCTTTAAACTCTCTCTCTCTGGAATCTCAGGGAGGGACGGTACATGGAAAGCACCACTTCAGGAATTCGCAGCCTAGTACAATTGAGGGCCTGGGGAATGGGGTGGGAGGAGGTGGCAACTGCAGGGCCATATGTTGACCAAGAGTCTTGCTCGATTGAGGTGGGAGAGGGCATACATTCTTCCTTATTTTTCTGGGAGAAAGATGAAACTGATTGTACAAATTGCAATCTATTCATGTTATTCGTGTGCCTGAAAGACAGTAAGTATTCATCTAAAACATAGCTGCTACAGTCCATGTTCAGGTGTTGCATTGTACAATTTGACCTGCAGAAGATTTCCTGCAGGTCCACGTTTGCCTGGGTACATGTTTAGGACAGCTCTGCAGCACAAAGTCAGTATGGTCCTGAAGCTGAGGTGCTGGTTACAGTCATCCTTCCTTGAAAGAATTTGCTGTATGTACTAGCACACTATGTGGATTACAGAGTTAAAACCTGTTTGCTATGTCATTGTTTGTTAGTGCTGTGCTTCAGCTAAATCACAGCTATGTAGAATGGTGCAACTGGCCAGCAGATTTGATTCAGTAAAGTTCTAAAACTTCACATTTTCCCGTGCTCTGGTGGTCAAGAGATGGCTTTGGTGCCCTTTCTGAAGGTCTTTAGTGCCTCTTCAGCTCTGCTATTCTAGGCTTTATTAATCAGCTTCATAAAATTGAGTAAGATATGTTTTTCTGGGGCACTAACAACAAAGGTATGGCAGTGCAGGGGGACACAAAGATGAAAGAAAACTGTGTACAACAGTGTAACTCTATTATGAGAGGCCTGACTTGCTGGTAAGTCCCAGTAAAATTAGAAAGCGCTGGGAGGGCCCTGATCTTCTAGAAACCTTCCTCCAGTTCCCAGAAGGCCCAATTACATAACATATTGTTTGTTTGCAGCGTCCAGAGACACTTTCACATTTTGCAATCTGTTGATATCCCCTTTCCCAGAACATATAAAATAGCTGTGTAACTTCTGAAACCATGCTACTCCTGTGCATTTAAACAAAGATCTCGTTTTGATGCTACCAAAAACGATGTATGATGGAGAAGTAGTTGGTCCTCCTATGGAACATTTTATCCCAGTACTGTTTGGTAGCCTCTTGGAGTGATGTTTTGTTGCTCCTTGCTCCTGAAGCACAGCTTGTGTGCTCAGTGGGTGCACATTGGCAAGTGAAAGAAACAGCATTTAAATGTTTTGCAAAGGGGTTAGCTGGGTTTGCATGACAGATTGTTCCAAGCTGTCTGGGAAAGCTAAAGATGTCTGACTTGGGTCTCAGCAAGGTCAGTCTCAGTGATGCTGCATGGGTACCTGGGGCTCTGAGACATCAGTGTAGGACAGGGTGCTATGATTTAAAGTGTAAAGAGGGAGCCTTCCCACTGGGGCCATCCTCAGCAAGGTGATTCCAGCCTTGTCTTGCATCTCCATTAATGATTAAAGCTTTCTTGATGAGAACATGGAGAAGATGTGTGGTTGCAGACTTTTCCTGCCTACCCATCTACCACAGCTACTGTGATCATAGAAGAGGTCACTCGTTCATCTAGCAAGTGTATTTTTATTTCCTGACCAAATGCCAAAAAATTCAAAAGAAGTACAGCCTCCTATCTTAAAGGAGGAAGCAATCCTTCCACCAGCTGATGGGATCTCCTCTCCTTGCTGTCTTGAAACATCAGGAGGGGCACCTCTTCCAGATGTGACTGCAAAGCGATAGGAAAACTGTGTGTTCTTTCATGTTCAAAAATCAGTAGTTTTTCTAGAGATAGCATTGCAACTAGAGATCTGTAACAATCTGCATTCCAGCTGTCTGCACCCACACCCCCCCCCAAAAGTTTTTACTGAGTTAATAAGTCAGCAAGGAAGATGGTATACACAATCATATGGATAACTGGTATTTCACCTATGCAGTTATAACTGTAAGTGCATGGAGAATCTTATGCTGTTCATAACACACATTTTAGCTGGTTTTACAAAAAAGTGTCTGCTGCAACTTTAGGAAATGATACTCTTGGTCCACGGAATTTGACTTGTTCAAGACAGCTTTGGAATTTCTCTGGAAGCATAAATGTAAGAGCCAAATTGTAACAGGGACACATCAGCTAAATTCTCAAATTTTTTAGGAAAAGTGTGCTCAGAGACCACATAGCCTCCCTCCCAAGAGCCCTTTAAAAAATGTCAAGGTCAGTAGATTGTGGCAGAGGGGGAACCAAGTGGTAAGTTCCCCTTTTCTTTTTCAAAAAACACTGGGTGAGGTATTTCTAAAGAAACGGCAAAAATAAAATCTACTCATCCCTGAGACCTCTCTAGCTCAGTTTTGCCTCCGTGGCCTGCAGCTTCAGAGAAAAAAAATGAAACCTCCAGCATCGTCAGCCTTGCAGTAGGATGCAGTGGAAGAGCTGAGAGTCTTCTGATGTGGCAGAAAGACCGCCATAACCCAGACTGAAGCTGAAGCAGACAAATGTTCCCCTTTTCACATTTCGTTGTTGAACATATTATCTCTCTCTTTGTCCATCCCACTTTGTTTGTGTGGGTCAGCGTGCATCCCCTCCCTCACAAGCCCTGGTTTGTGCAGGATTACTGTTTGGAGGCACAGTGTGAGATATCAAAACAGACCAAACAAAGGTTAAACTCTTATTCAACCTGCTTCCAGTGTCCAGCTTGGTTTTTAGAGCATGTTTTCCCCCCTTGCAACTGGCGGCCTCACCTGGCCCAGTGGAACTTGCAGGCAGTTCAGCTACGGCCACCAGGATCTAGGTCTTGGGTCCATTTTATGGAAGGTGGCCCTGGCCATGGCCCACAGCAGGGAGGCTGAGCACGTGTTGCGCCAGGCTGGGGCATGGTGTGGGTGCCTGTTTCCGTTTCCAAGGGAGTTTTGGGGAGGAGAAGTTCTCTAGGACTGAAATGTGTCATTGCTTTGGGTCCTGAAAGTTCCCTATGACTGAAATGTGTCATTGCTTTGGGTCGTCCTCTCT